AAAACTTTAAAATAATAACTACAATTATGACTGTCAACTAAAACAGATCAGAATTTTAGGAATGTTATATAATTTTTAAAACTTATATCAATAACATTTACCCACAAAATACCACCTAAGAAGGTTTATCATCACTTATTTGACAATGCTTCCCATGTAATTTAACATACTAAGAAAGCCTAATTAATCTAATGTCTTCTTCTTTATAGAAAGAGAGAACGAATTTCTTTAGAAGTCTCAGGGGTCCTCTGAAAATTCTCAAAGAAAAAAAATTTTTCCTTGAGGTCAAAAGAAAGACTTCATTTAGGATTTGAATTTTGGGAGAAGCTTGTCACAAATATCAAAAGGTTTTAAAACACTTGGCCAAGTAGGAAACAATGCTCACTGTGAAACAATGCTCAGCTATCCATTCAATCAAAATGACAACAGAAACAGTCAAGGACAAACAGAGTTACAACAGTCAAAAAAAATCTTAATAGAGAGACCTCAGTCTTTTTGAACGTAGGAAATTATTTTTTTAAAAACATAGATTTTTCTGTCTTTTTAGGTAGACTTACTCAAAGGTAACGAAAAACCTTTCATAACCTCTTTATCTACTCTCTTGAGTAAACTCAAAGTCCACGAAAATTATCCTTTTAAGAGAGAGGGGGAAAAAACAAATTCTAATTTTGTATCAGTTTACTTTTGATACTAAACCACATTTACTTAATTAAATTCATTTTAATCTTAGCAAACTTGACCATGCAAAACTCTTTCCTCAGGGTTACTCCTCCACAAACCTTTTATAACTTTCTTTTTTTACATTTAGAATTTGTCCCATGCTGCCTTTTTTTTCTCCTAGTACTTTAGGACAAATTTATCTTTCTTAACCAAACAAAAATATTTCCATTTTTTATACCTTCTATACTGAAAATGTACATCTTACTTTCCTTGAATACAAGATGTTTTCCTTATTAATTTTTAGTAGCTTTAATCACTTATTAGAATTTTTAACACTTAATTTTTAAGTAAAAACTAAGTAAGCAATTATAAACTGTCTTTTACATTAGTATTCTGTGGGTTGGCAAGTTTATAAATACTTTTTATAATTTCTAGAAACATCTTACTTTACAGTACAATAATTTAGTAAAACACAAGCCATGTTTACCAATGGACCCCAAACACCTTTCAGTTTTTCTGTAATAAGAAGCCAAAAGTAGATAACCTTATATTTAGTAATTAATGTATAATATCTTATCTTATTTGAAAATAATCTAAATACTCAATGAATTTCTATCATTTAAATTAACCTAGCAAAACTTCAAAGTTTCAAGTTACCAAAGAGATTTTGAAAGTTATTTTAAATATACATGCCATAAAACTATAACTGTTGCTAAAAGTTTATCTATAAACTCTTATCTCACTTACATCTAAATCATTTGTGCCCAACAATTATGTTTATATTACTCACAAAAACTTCATGAGATATTAGACAAAATTAGCTATCATTTTAAGCTTTTTTTGCTGACACATTTGTAACGGGGGTAAGGTGAGTTTGTTTCACTAGTAAACCCAGGCTACATGTCTGCATCATATCCAATGCTGATAACTCTGAGGACCTGTCTATTTCAATCAAACCAACAAACTTAAACAAGTTTTTCATTTGCCAAAGTTTATTTCATATCACGTTAACTTGAAAGACATTTGGGTTAGTTTCTATTACATTTAGAAATAATTTGTGTGAGCGCTTACTTTAAACTAATTAAACAGGGCCAGCCCCTTGGCTTAGCAGTTAAGTGCGTGCGCTCTGCTACTGGCAGCCCCGGTTCGGATCTCGGGCGTGCACCGACGCACTGCTTCTCCGGCCATGCTGAGGCCGTGCCCTACGTACAGCAACTAGAAGGATGTGCAACTATGACACACAACTATCTACTGGGGCTTTGGGGGGAAAAAAAAGGAGGAGGATTGGCAATAGATGTTAGCTCAGAGCTGGTCTTCCTCAGCAAAAAGAGGAGG